GTTTTCTTCCGCCATTGGAGAGATCCTGGTTTTGTGTTTTCCCCAGCAACCTCGAAGCAGTAGGTGTTAGTGCTCAAAGAGCCCTTCAGAATTTCAGGCTGATAAATGAAATTAGAGAAATTTCTCAGCAGCCAAATCGAGGGGTTTGAAACACCACAACCTGTTCTAAACCCCCAGCTGGTAATTTGTTGCTGTCCTTGTTAACATCTGTTTTACAAAGCAGGTGCTGGGAGTTCAGTGCCTTGTGTCTGGTCCATCAGACAAGACCTGAAAGAATGACAGGACATGGGAAATCCAGGAACAGGACCATGAACAAGTTAATAACTCCACTGTGTCAGGAAGGAATCAGACCTGTCTCTTGTGCTCAGCTGAACAGCAACCCTGATGTGAGATGTGGGTCATGTTAAATCCCGGCTTCCAGTTAATCTGGGCTTTGAGAGGTGCAGGGAAAGAACAGAAGCATTTCAATGGGAAGCTTTAATTTGAACTGTTGTCTGCCTGAAAGGAGCCAAGGTTGTGGGGGGTTAGAAAATGTCCTGCCAGATCCTGGGGCTGGGCCGGAGAGTAGGAGCAGTGACAGGAACTGCTCCTCATTCTCCTCCTTCTTATGGAGATGTTGGGAAAAAACCAGGCTGATGTCAGGTCCTGCCCTACCAGAGCCACCACAGCCTGTCCCCAGTGGCACAGTGATGGGTGACAGTGACAGGGCAGGTGGGTCCTGCTGGGATGATGAGCATGTTCCCTGTTCTGTGCCAAACAGGCCTCATCTCCTGGGGTGTCTGTTCAGCCCCTGAGGAATCGTCACTGGTGAGTCCCAGGTGGAGGCTGGTGGTTCCCAGAGTCTGCTGTGACCCCCCCACAGCCCAGTGGTCACAGTGGCCCTGCTACAGAGCCCCTGGTTATCGCCAGTGGCAGATCCTGGTGGGTGCCAGTTGTCCCTGAGTCAGCAGTGCCCTGGCAGCCAGGAGGGACATCCCTGTGCTGGGGGCAGCAGGGAGGGGATTGTCCCGCTCTGCTCTGCCCTGGGGCCTCACCTCAATGTTGGGGCAGTTTGGGGGGACACAATGGAAGAAGAGATTGAGCCATTGGAGAGTGTCCAAAGGAGGGAACGAGGATGGGGAAGGGCCTGGATTTGAAGGCGTGTGAGGACACTGAGGGCACTTGGTGTGTTCAGCTGGAGCAGAGGAGACTGAGGGGAGACCTCCCTGCAGTTCCAAGTGCCTGGGCAGGGGCAGAGGAGGGGCAGGACTGAGCTCTGCTCTGGGGGG